AGGGGTCGGTGTCGTGTCTGTGGCTTTGTGTTGCGCTGATTCAACAAAGAAGAAGCTCCGCAGCAGCGGCTTAATGTGAACTGCAGCGCTGCGGGCCGAACCGGACCGGACCGGGTCGGGATGCTGCGGTATGGAAGCGAATGAGTCCCCGCGGAAGAAGCGTGGGGAGGCGGGGCGGCGGCCCGGCGGCTGTCCGTGTCCTGCGCTCCGTGTCCCGCCCGCTGCTGGCCGCGCTGGCGCTGCTCCGCTGGATCTTCTGCCGGATCTGGACCCGAACCACGGCCGCTGTCCGGGCCGGGGCCGCCGGCCGGCAACGGGACGGCAGCGGCAGCCCGGAGCGGGGAGAGCGGCTCCGGAGCCACCACCGGCGGGCCTTCGAGTGCATCTCTGCGGCGCTGAGGATCGACGAGGACGAAGGAGGTACTGATCAGGTTATCGATTATAGATGATCGATGCTGAACGAGCCCGTCAGCTGGTCACTCTCAGCTCTAAAGACACTCTGCAGAAGTGATCGATGGTTTCCACTGTGGATGATTATCCGGATCAATCGATCAGCTGATTGACCTGACATGTGGATCAGATGTTCAGGTTCCTGCCACAGAGCAAAGAACCAGAAACCTTCTGTTCATGTCAACAGTGACTCAGACTGATTCATCAATAACTGATCGACAGCTGATCGGTGGACTGTTGCACCTCCCCACGGATCAATAAGTGTCCGTGGCCACCGTCACGGCTTTTCCTTTTCATCAGACATGAGGAGGATCTCTGGTTTCTCAGCTGCTGTTCAGGGTTCCGTCTGTCAGAGATGAAAGAATGTACATGTGGCTTCATTTTAGTCTGTCAGGATGGAGCTGAAACCAATAACTGATCACTTATCAATCAGTTCATCAGAACTCTGTGGTTTCAGATTCTCCAGTGAAGGTTTTCTGGTTTCTTTCCTCGGTGACGGTAAGCTGAACATCTCTGGGCTGAACCTGAAGCTCTGATCCACGTCCGAGCAGCTGATGGCCGGATGCAGAAGATGAATGTTGTAGCAGATGCGTCCTCCAGGCTCCTCCGGTGTCACTGTGGAGGTGTTGGATGCATCGTGATGTGACGTGTTGAAGTCTGCAGATCGTATTGTGGTGATCAAACGGCTTTCCTCACTGTCCTGTGATTGGCTGCTCAGGGGACAAGCTGCAGGCGGTGGGCTGGTACCAGCAGGGGATCAGCGAGCTGGAGAAGGGAGTCTCCATCCAGGTGTCAGGTCAGTCCCCAGGTTCCTCACACATTCTCACCTGAGCAGAACCTTCAGAGGAGAACTTCAGAGGAGCTACGTCACGTTCTTCTGTTTCAGGACAGAAGCACGAGCGAGACCGACGGCTGCAGGACAAGATGGCCGCCAACCTGAAGGCAGCCAGAGACCGACTGCAGAGTCTCAGTAGGTTTCACAGGGAGTCCGTTTGTGGTGGTTCTGTGTCTCTTTGTCATACAGTAGACGGTTTGTAGTATTTTCGTATTTCTTCGGTCGAGCCTTCCTTCTGCTCTCGTCTTTAAAATGATAATATTTGTGGTTTTTGCTTATTCTGTGGACTGTGGGGCTGTTTCTTCTGTTTTGTTCCTGCTGTAGTCACGGTGGTCTCAGGGTCCAGGGTTCTGACGGACGTTTACTCTGCCGGCTCAAACC